TGCTACACAACTGTTTGCTACTGCATTCCAACATCTGCTGCTAGTATTTGCATTTATTCATACACTACAACACAAAATTGCATTGCTTTTTTAAAATTATAGTATTTATTCTGAGTTTCCACACATTTTCTTTATTCTTTGAATGGACTTTTCTCCTCTTCATCTCCTCCTCTTGGGAAATGTAGAAAATCAGCTTTAAGGGAAAACAGAACTCCCATCCTTTACTTTCTTTATGTTGGAATTTGTGTCTCACTGCTTTGCAAGAGGTTGTACAGCATAGTTTGTCTGCCATCAACCTTGTGATAACATGATATTTGATAAAGAATATTTGTGTTATAGATGGACACATTGCTTCGCAGTTCAAATAGCAGCCTGCTCATTTTTCTGCTGGGCCACGATGTTCAGAGAATGATATTTTTTCTTCTTGTGGTGCAGTCCAGCATTTTATCAAATTATGGTAATTAAAAATTATTTTTCTGTAATATAGTATAGAATTCCCAGCTGATATTAGAAAGAATTTGGAGTGGAATATGTGACATGTGAACATTTGTGGCTCACAGCATTAGCTGTGGTTCAGATTAAACACTGAGTTTGTGCCAAAGTGATTTCCACGGAGTTTCTCGTGGCGTGTGAACTCAGCTCTGCCATTTCAGACATTTACCCAATTAAAGCATTCAATATACAAAGTTTGCTGATTTGGTTGAGAATTAATTCTCCAACATATCAGCTGTCTGTCCAGTGATTGTATATTAACAGGATCTGAGAGAAGGCTGGGAAGGGGAGGAAAGCCCTGGCATATGGTGTTGGTGATGGTCCCTTTCCCCGGCTAGCAGCATGCTAGAGGTACACAATTGTTCAGTGTTGCAGGAGCACAAGTAGTACACTGGGATAAGACCTCATCTACTTTCTTGAAAAACTGATACTCTGAGAGAACAAATATGGACTGATACTGGTATTTCATTTATTTTCTCATGACTACAAAAGAGATTGTACTGCTTGGTCCCCTTTACTCACCTTCCCTTTGGAGCCAGTAAATCCTTTGTGCCATCATTCAGTGAATAACAAGTTTTTGGCTTGCCTGTGCCATGTTGCTCAGAGAGGAATTATCTTGGGCAGCGTATACACAAATTGCTCTGAAAGTAATGCTTCCTATTTATTTCCATGGAAACTGCAACAGACACAAAGAGCACAATAATATTATTTGACAGAGCAAATTCTCACCTACAGAACATTATTTTTCCACACAGTCACCACCATTAAACATTCATTTTCACCAGCAATGAATAAGAACCTTCATGCCACAATCATAAAAATCTGTACCAGCAGAGGTGACCCACTGTCACCACTGCTGAAATGCACCACCTAGAGCCTCATTGTACTTACATCCAGCATTTATTCTCCATAAACATCCAGCAAGCTTCAATGAATGTCAATGAGTGCCATTTTTCCCTCTTGGAGGAATTCAGTGACACCCCTTAGCTGCATCTACAATTGCATGTGAGATGCCATTTTGTCAGACTGCCACTCTGCTGCCATCTGTCACATGGCAACAAAACGTAACAATATTGATGAGAAGGTTCAAACCCATACCCCCATCTGCCTCTGATATTGTGAGACAACAGCATAAAATAGTAGGTATCACTTTTGGAACAGTCCACATAAAAAATACAATATTGTTAATATACAAGTAACAAAATATTTTTAATGTTTTTCTTTAAAAAAAAAAAAAAAAAAGAGGGACAAAACCAAAAAGTAGTGGGATATTTGACCCCAGTTTTGTGAAATGAATGCATCAGTCTGGTTTGATGGCAGTGATTGCAGTTGTTAGTGAACTCTCAAGTTGTTCAGTAGAGATTTTTGATGAAATTTTACTCCTCCAGTGTTCATAAATGTGTACTGCCAAAAACCAGTAACGTGAATAAGGTGTGGTTGTGAAACAAGGGATATTTTTCTCTGGTAAGAGAGATCTTGTGAAAGTCTGGTAAAGAACCATGATCCAATCTGTGAGCTGAATATCTGATTACAACTTTAGACATTCCATTTGTTTGCAGGTCATTTGTATCAACAGAAAACGGTGTTAGAAATATACACTGATGATTTTTTTGCCATCTTAAAATCTACTCTCAAATTCCTTTATTAAAATGGAAAGCTGTTCAGAGCCTTGTGTTAAGCTAATATATCAAAATGCATACAGTTGTTTGCTATCACTTGAGTTAGCACTGCCCAGCACTGCTCCATGCCTTGGTTTCAGTCAACACAGTTTTAATAGCACACCAACGGTCTGGTTCTTGCTGAGTGATGGGTCTGCGCCCATCCAGCAGCAGTGAAGAGCCACCACCCTTTCAGTGCAGGGCCAGGGGTGGACTGCATTGACAGCCATGCTAGGCCATGAATTGGACATAGCTGGTTTACAGAGTTTACTCATTTTTATTTAACCTCTCACTGTGCAGCAGCATGCTGAGCATTTCTGTCTTTTGCACCCACTCAGTGGTATTTAAAGACCCAGGAGCTGTCCCTGTAAGGAAGACTGGAGTATTTCAGCACATCAGAAACTTTATCCGGTTGGAAAGCTGCCCCTCAAATATAATCTGCTCATGTCCATTTTTCTCATCTCTTTAAAAACTCTCCACTCCACATCGTGTGATGCAGAGGTTCTTTTTATAGAAGTAATTATGGCAGTTTTCCAAACTATCACAATGCCACTGTGCCCTCAATTCCAGAGGGTTCACTCAGAGAATATCTTTTAATTCAGAAAAAGGATTACAAGTACAGCAAGATCTTTCTGACTGAAATTGAGTATGTAAATTTGTCCAGGGAGCCACAGGCCTCCCACAGCTGCCCCTCTGTGTTCTAGCACCTGCAGGCTTTATCAGGTATATGAACTCATTCATTTTGGTCACACCAAGCAAAACGGGGACAGGTACACAGCCAGAGTAAACTGGCTTGGCAGTCACAGGAGTTATGCTGATTTATGCTGGCTAAGGAGGCTATTATACTCATTTTGCTTATCTGTAGAGCCCTCTTCTGAAATAGCATGTGCTGGTTGTGTCTCCAAGGTAGAAACCTGCCAGAAATTGTAAATTAGCTATGAGTAGTGCATTTAAGGTCACACTTGGGTTTATTGCCTCTTGGTAAGTTATTAAGCTTTTATTGAAGCATATTTTGTATGATCATCAATATTATCTGCACGCTTTGTACCTAATGTGTTTCATTCCTTCAATCCATTCCAGTCAAGAATTTTAAGGCAGGCCAGTGAGGCTAATGGATTGAGCTGTGCGGCACACCAGCGACAAAGGAGAATTGCATGGTTGTAAGTCAGGATGCTGAGTGACGAGTGGCTGTCTGAAGGCACCACTATCAGATTCAGGTGGCTGTTAGGTCCTCTCTGCTGGTGCTTCCAGCCCCACGGCTCTGCCCCAACAGGGCTGTAGAAAGGGAGGTGCTGCCTTAGGGCTGCTGGTGGTGTCCTTACAGTAAGTGCCCTGACATAGCGCCTGGCTGGGTTTGTGGTGGTTTGTCTGTCCACCCTGCTATGAAATTCTGTGTCTTATACCATTTTAACAATAAGACTAACTTATAAGGCAATGTCTTTAATTCCAGAGCTTTCAGAAAACCTTTAAATTTTTATTTTTCTCTTTTACTTTCCATAAGTACTGTCATCTGTAGAAGCCCTTAAATGCTTGTGTGATTTCCCTCAACCCTTACCCACATTTTACTGCTCTCAGTTTTTTCCTCCAGTGGAGCTTCTTCTTTCAGCCTGACATGCTACTGGCTTCCATGAGCCTCCCATTTCAAAGCTTTCACTTCTCAGCCATTATGTTTGCTTGTTCAGTAACATATTCAGGTGTTTTTTTCAGACTGAATCTAATTTTCTCAGTCTTTCTTTAACAATGACATTCATGCTCTTTTCCTAGCCTTGGTTTTATTAGTTCATTTCTTTTGGTTTGACTGACTGCTGCTTTTGGGCATCATATTCACACCGTACTTCTCAGACCCAAATTTATCATTTTCCAGTGACAGGTCAACCAGTCTGCCTCTTCTCTTCTGGTCATCCTCAATAACCTTAGCTAGAAAAAAAACAAAAAGAAAAATGGAAACAAAAATGATGCTTACATTCTCCTTGATTTACAGTAGCTGTTCAGTAAATTTTGCAATTTTCAACAGTCTTTTAGATGTACCCCTGGATTTGTTAATATAAGAACTCCTGATTAATAAATATGGAGTGGGAAAAACACACATAACCCGACTCTTTTCTCCTAAAACACTAAATAAGTGTGTAGCTATTTCTAACCCATTCCTTCCATTCAGGCAATTTGTTATACAGCCTGTGGGGGGAAAACAAAACAAAACAACAACAAACAAACAAACAAACAAACAAACAAAAAACCAACAAAACAAAACAAAAAAAAAGGAACCATCCAAATATTAGGAAGTAATTTAAGTTTCATCTGTGCTGATATTAAAGTTCAGGGGGTCCCTAAGCTGTTTGCCCATCTCTGATGAAAGGAGATCATCCTTCTTTATCAACAAGTAGTATAGCAGACAGAATATTTGACTACTAGTAATTCTTCGGGTTAATATCCTTTTTCTGTAAATTAAAGTGTGTAGAGTGCCAAGCATTTTATTAATTACCTAAAGATCCTGAAAATAGCAAAACTGCCAGATTTATCTGTCAAACTGCAGCGTACCACTCAATAAAAATTCTGCAAGCTGTTCATCGGAGACTGGAATTGCAGTGAATACTTGCTGCTAGCCTTATAGAAGCCTTGATTTTTTAAAGCTGCTTGTGAAGGGAACAGGTGAAGAGATTTAATGATGACACAAAATTGTGACTGCAGTTCTGTACTTCTAATGTGCCTGTAAATTAATCCATGGGACTGCAACAGATTTCAACACTCATCTTCCTCAAAAGCCATCACACTTGCTTAAAAGGTTACGTATTGCTTTTTTATTTCTTTGTTTCATCTCTGCTGAGAGATCTTCTTTTCTTCCTTTTACAGATTCAGTGAAATGATGATATACTCAGCAGTGGTATACTTAGGAATCTTGGAGAGGACAACAAAAACTCCACCCCAAACCAATGCGTGATTCTCTCCTGTGTATTTCAGATATGAGGATTACATTGGATCACACAGCCCTTTCTCTCACAGCTACATAGAACCATGGAGTAAGTAGCTGCTTAGTCCACACATATTTTGTGGACTTCACTCTCAGACATCCTGACAGACTGTTTTTTGCCCTCTACAATAAACTTCAGCTCTACAGCAGCTGTTAAAAGCCTCTTTCATCACACAGGAAAAGAGCAAGTTCAAGCATGCTGGTAACTTTCTAGGTATCTTCAGTAGCAAAGAAAGGTAGACTCCTTACCCTGCCCGACCCTTACTGCTCATGCTCAGCTCAAGGCACTGCCTCTTTTTCCTTCCTGTTCATGCACAGGTGCAGGAGTCCCAGCATTTAAGAGACAGAGAAGCAAAAAGCAGCCCTTGCTGACTTCCTGCTCTGGCCTGTTTCTATCTGGTCCTCTGCCATCTCCTGGGTAGGTGAGTATTCATAGGCTGCGTACACGAATACACAGTCTTCACATTCTGCCCAGACTCTTGTTATCTGTTATTCTGCCTTTGCCTTGTTATCTGGGGTGGGAGGGGAGTTGGTAAAAATATAGCTGAAGCTAATTTCTGTCTTGAAAGACCCAGCCATGTACATCATCTGAGTCTAAGAGCTGATCAGCACGAAAGCTAGGAATGAATCACACCTCCTATATGTCAAGGCTGTTTTTTTTTTTTTGCTCTGAGTTTCTTTGAACTTCCTGAATGAGTATATGAAGGGAAAGGTGTTGCTAACTTCAAAGGAGTGAAATGACTTCTGTCTTCAAAGCTTTGCCACTACCTGGCATTTGTTACATTAATTCAGAAGGAGAAAGAAAGGAGACCTTTTGACTGAGCAATATACCATGATAGACACCAAAACCTTTCCAGGGATGTTAAAAAGGGGTTATATCAGTTTCCTTTCCAAAGAGCAAATTAAATAAACAGATCCCGTCCCTTCAGAAAAAGCCAAGAACCCCTCCACCCATTAAGATCCAAAAATCTTCATGCAGAGATAAAAAATATTTAAAATATGAAGTAATAAACAATCCAAAAAAAGTTTAAAAAGTCACTTAATGTAAACCCTTTTCATAACAGAGTTTGTTGATAGTTATTAAAATGAGAGTCTAAGAAAGTCCTGCAAATCCCATGCAGGTCCTTGGCAAGGGACACTTAAATAAAAACCTTATTGTCTTGACATGGCTGGGTGTGCTCTGCAGAATAAAACGTAGACTTTTGTTATTGAAGGCACTGTTGCTTCCCTAAGTAGTTTCAATAAAGATACAATCATGGAATGCTCTGGAAGATCTTTATCCTACAGAGACTGAAGGCTTGAGAGGGAAGGGAGTCTAAATAAAAACTCTATTTGGAGACACTTGTTGTTTTTTTTTTTTTCCCTACAGTTTCTTTTTTTCCCCCCTTTTAATAGTGAAGTAAACATGTCCATATTTTTAAATGTAAATCCTTATTTGGACCATAGATCTATATTCAATCTTTCAGTGCAAGCACCAAAATTGAATGGTTAAATGGTAGATTACAATAAGCCTGGCTAAAGTCAGTTACAGGAAACCTGTTGTAAGTTTGGTCAAGAAAGTCTAAGGAGCCTCATACTTTTGTCACAAAAATAAGGTAGAAAATGGTAAAATATATGTTACTCTTTCTCTTATTTGTTATCTGATTCTCCGTATGTAGTTTGGGAAAATCTCATTATGGAAATCTGTATTCAAAAGTCAGAAGTTGTGTGATGAAAGAAAAATCCATTAACCCGTTTTAATAGCATGTCATCAACTGTAGAATTCTAATGCCTAAGGAAAGACACACTATAAAGTGCTTATTTTTCCTTTTTCACAAAAGGACCGGGCAGAGGATAATATGCTACTGGTCAATAATTAGAATGATAAATGTCTTCAGAGTTGTTCTGTCATATTATATTGGCAAACATTGAGTGAGATGTAATTTTTTTTTAACATAGGTCATAGCTATGTTTATTGAGTACATGTTGAGTACACTATTGAGTGCTTACCCATATACCTTTGCTTTAAAATAACCTAAAGTTAGAAAATAGAAATTGCTGAAATGAGCAGCTGACTATTGCAGAAAAAGCTAATCTGAAATATGGGATGAGAGATTAAATCCCTTAGGAAAGCTTATCCGCAAGGCATAATGTATACTCCCTGCATAATATTTCTATAATATGCACCCCTAGCAAGGCAGCACTGGCTTCTCCTTAGGAGGGAAAGAGTATGAGGGCGGAAGGGGTGTGGGCTGTGTGGGACATACAAAGTGCTGAAACTGAGGTCACTTAAGCAAGTTCAGTATCCTTTATTTGTCTCCAGTGAAAATGAAGTCAACTTGTGTTCATCTGATTGAGAAGCGGCAGACATCAGCCTGGCAAAATCCTATTTATTTTTTCACCCGAAGCAAATGAAAATTATAAAAGCTACATAGAAGCAGGAGATATACATGGATCCTCCAGTGCTTTAGGTGGGGGGTGTTTATAATAAACAGTGTCTGCACATTCATGTATTTATATCCAATAGAACTGTATACAAGACATAAGAATACTCATTTTTTTAATCATCATTATTTAGATTATGATATGTCTGTCATTTTCCTATTATTTTTTGCTGACAGCCTGTCTCATTGATATGCTATCCAGCAAGTAAGACCCACAATAAATATTGATAATACATCTGAATGTGTAGAATTGCTGGCAAGGCTCACAATTTAATTCCAACTCATGTGAGCTGCTGCAAGTAAAAAAAAAAAAAAAAAAAAAAAAAAAAAAGGCATCACATAGAAATGATTTTTATATTGAAAACTTAAACTCCATCTAGAGTGGGTCTGAACAGCCCTAAAAAAGAGGTAATTAAAAGACTTCTCAGCCACAGTTGTCCTCAAACCAGAAGAAACAGCATGTTCACAGCAAAATGAGGGTGTATGTTTCTCCACATTCTGCTGAAATTAATACTAATACAGTGAACACACACTCTGTTCCCCAATGGCAGTGGGCATAGGAAGAGTACCTAGAGGCAGAGGTGGTATACATCCAGCTGGGAACCTTCCTTTTCCATAAAACAACAATGAATCAGCAGTAATATAACCTATGAATTCATCTCAGGAACCCAAATGTATTCATTCACATCAGCGTAGGGTGAGAAGGATTCACTCACATGAGTGAGGGGCATCACAGACCGTAGGTCACTTAGGGTTTATATGTTTCTAGTGGAACTGAGCAGGTCTCAAGATTGCTTCTGATAGTATACCCAGTCAGTTCCACCCTGAGTTAGATTTACTGTTTCATTTTATGTTCTAGCTAGTGTAACAGGGAGCTTAATGTATAATGAGGAAGAAGACAGGCTGGATCCTCCACCCAGAGCTAGCAAATGACTTATTAAATCTTACTTTCTCATATATTTGTAGTCTAGGAGTTTGTCACATAAGGTAAGGATAGTTTGCACTATAGTAGTTGTCATTTGGAAGTTATTTAAGATTAGGAATAATACGAGGTAATAATTCAGCCAGAGTTCCCTGCCAAAGATTTTAGTTTATCTCATTCTCATTACCCACCTGCAGCTCATGCTATATTTCCCTGAGTTTTTTCATATTCTGGTAATTCCCTACCAATATTCTGTATCTCCTGCCTCTCCTGGCTGCAGGAATGATGACAGCAATGGTAATAAAAATCCTTAAGCAAAATAAATTCTTTCCTATGAGCACTTTGAGTAATATCCAAGTAAAAGCTGTGGTGGAGGCCCCTTCGAGTGTGTTTATTAACAGCCTGGGACAGATGGTTGCTCAGTTATCCAAATCCCAATTTTCCTCCTACCCTGTGTAGTTCCAGAATGTTCTTTCTTCAGAATGTCTTGCTGAGCACTGCCTCACAAACCTTTCTGACTACAGGTTTTGCAATAATTAAAAAACAATGTACAGCTTAGCCGATAGCCAAAGCTGCAGGTGATGCTTCTGAAGCCCTCATTTATCGTGCCAGGGATGTGGATTTCCATCAGGACAGCTTTGCAAGTTCACCTTTTCTCTTTCTAATTAACCCCTGTTTGCATTATGCTTTACATAGAGTTTCTTCTGCCTGTTTTGCTGATAAGTTTTGATAAGCTTCTTATGTTGATTAAAAATAAAAAAGTGATGATAGTTAAGGGAAGTTTCAGAGTGGTAATGTTTTTCCTTTGAGATTGTCTGTTTTTAAGGCTGTGGAAGGAACTTGTGCTCAGTAAATGCAGAAGCTATAAAGCCTTCATTGATCCTCTTAACAATTTAGATAATAACTTCTACTACTGCTCTTTGCAAGAAGTTATGTTTCATGATAAAAGTGGAAAAGAAAACAGATTTTAAGGGAGTATTTATCTTGACTTATTTTCAGGCTCAGAATGAAGCCTAGGTGCTTTATTGTGGAATAATTGCAGCTGAATGTGTGTTGGAGGTGCTCTTTGGAGTCTATTGCCCAGCCCCTGCTCAAATCAAGTGGTTCCATAAATAGATAATGTCAACTAGTTGTTTTTTGTTTTTTGTTTTTTTTTGCAAGTGGCTGGTTGTAATATAAGAATTTCCTTCTTTCAGTTGAATTAAAATAAAAACATAATTGCTGTTTTGTGAAAAATTGAATAGGAAATAACGCAAATCATAGAATCATAGAATAACCTGAGTTGAGAAGGATCATAATGATTATTTAGTTTCAATGCCCCCCTGCCACGCGCAAATAATGAAATTGGACATGGAAATTCAAGGGCAGGATGATGCAGAGCTGTCCTTTCACTCCTTTAATTCCTGCTCCTCTGAGGAAACGTGAACACTGCAGATTCATTGCAGCTTGCTCTTTTTAAGTACCCCAAACACAACTGAGGAGCAGTGAAGGATGTGGAGCATCTGACTCTGGCTGCCAGTCCCTGAGAGAGGCCTTTCATGGGATAAGACGTAAGGTACCTGTTTGCATCCTGAAACGTGATGATGGGATTGAGTTCCTGATTGATGTAAGGCAATGTCCAGTCCCATTAGAAGCTGCAGGCTGGGATGTCCTAAAACAGATGGACATCACTTGAACTTACCCAAGGTCAGATCTGCACTCTGCAGAAATAGAGCCCTATTTAAAATTGTGGATCTGGTTCAGAACTCTTGTTCTAAGTGGCTTAACGGAGTGGTGAATCACATTCATCTTTTCCAAAAGCTTAGAAGCACTGGTAGAATGCAGGTGCTTTAATACTCATTTTGCATGTTTCAGAATTGGCATATACAATTAAACTAAGAGGGAAATAACACCCAGCAATCGCAATGAAGGAGGTGGTAGCAGAATTTAAACTGTGCTATGGTATTGCTGTTTTTCTGGGGTTGTTCTGTGGCAAGAAAACTGGTTAACTGGTTATAATAATGGTTTACACTTTTGGCTTGTGACTGAGACAGCTTAATACTTTTTTTTCCAGGATTAGATACGAATGTAG